CTTTGGAGTACGAACGTGATGCTACGTATTTTCTACAGATATTTCTGCAAAACAAAGGACGCTCACATAAAAATATGGCAATATTGTTATTGTTGTAACGGTTATCTAAAACCTGTTTGAAGGCGAATAAGCTAAGTATTGCTAGTAACATCTTGTAATGAGTTTTTTGGAGGGGTGGAGCCATGGTGGAAGTGGTTTTATATGAGCTGGTTCTAAAACTTGGCATTGGCTGATCCCGTCGACTAATCGATTCAATAATAGTTACAGTAGGGTTTAAAGAAGGCAATACTTGACTGTTGACTACGCAGGAACATATTTGTATAAATGGGTCTTTCCTCCTCGTATCGTATATGTATACAAAAATTACATTCTATTTCGTTGTGTATCCGCAGACCCTTTGAACCACATCACGGAGAGTCATAAAAATTTGTACTGTTATTCAGTATTCCATAACGGAGGCAAAATCATCGTCGAATTTGCAATTATATTCAATAAAAATATGAAAACATTACCATAGGAAATAGGTAGTTAAGATCAACAAATTAAGAGGATCAAAGAGATTTTTTGTTTGTGGGGCGATCGGTGGGGCAAACAAAATACTGCAGTTCTTGGATCATAATTGATATGTCTATGCCTCATTGTGCGGCAGTTTGGCAAGCCTGAAGTATGTTTATCGAGACCCTACTGATTCCCGATCAGGGGCGGATCCAGAGTAGAATTTTTGAGAGGGAACTATATAATTTTGTACTTTCAACGCACGGTATTTTCTTCGCGAAGGGTCACTTATGATAATTTGTAAATAAAACGCAAAAAATTTAATTATTCATCAATATTATTTTGTCGCCTTCAAATTTATCCCCACAAGATGTAATACACTTATGCTAAAGATTTTTCCAGTCCTCGAAACACTTTCTATAAGCATTTTCTTGGATGGCCTTCAGCTCCTTCAGCGCATTTTGTTTTATCTCTTCTATCGACTAAAACGTATTCCATGAAGCGGCAAATTCAGTTTGAGTATAAGAAAACACAAGGAGCCTAATCTGATGAATACTTTGCTTGATTGATAGTATTCATTGCGTTTTTGGCTTTAAAGGCGGCCACAATCGTTCTCCCTTCACCCAAATCATTCGAAAGGACTCGCGAGAGATGTTGAGCTCTTTTGTCGTCTCTCTAACGTTTGCCTGGCAATTTTGAAGCACCATATCCTCAACTTTTTTTAATATTTTCATCAGTTAAAGAGGTCGAAGGTCGTCCAGAACGAGGCTTGATGGTTTGTACCACTCGTAGGCTTTTGTTTGTAATAAAATTAAATCAACGTAAGCCTTTCCAACATTCGCAACGATTCCGCTAACGAAATTTCTTTGGAAATACAAAATTTGTGAAAAATTCTCTGTTCGATATTTTTATCCAATGTAAAAATCGAAACGCACTGCCGAGGTGTACCGACTTAAGCAGCTGCTGTAGACAAACTTGTTGACAGATCGCGCTCATATTTGCCATATTAATTAAGGAGAGTCGCACCAACTTAGCAAAATATTTTTTTTTTTTGAAATTTTACTTACCCGGGAAATGTAATTACACTAAAACAAACATAGATTTTATGTTGTTATCTTATTTTTCATCAAGCTTAACACTGGTATATAAAATACTCTTAGGCAGATGATAAGGTTAGAAAGATTATTACAGCAAACTTATGCACATAGAAACCTGTATTGGTATTACATCTTTATATCGATCCAATGTGTGATGTGTGTCAGAATTTTTCACACCTTCAGTTGAAATATTAGTCCCCAATTTAAGCAAAAATGTGCGGTGAACGTGTGGTGTTGGTACATCAGAATAACTATCAATGAATATAAATGAATGCAGTGAATGTAGGAAAATGAATGGATGAATGTCTGTATAACGGCCCAATTTTCACACAAACATAATAGTAGTAGGCAAAAGCAACAATGAACTTCACACCGTTAGCTCTTTGTGATTGGTTAAAGACTGGCTGCAGTCGATATATTTTACGCACATTGATGCGTATACATATTTACACGTACTCCTGATGGAGAACGAATTCAGTCGCGTGTACAACACCAACAACATCCGCAATAGAATCATATAATTGAGTAGGAGATACCACGCAAAAGCAGCGGTGAGAAGAAGAGAAGATAATGAATAAAGCAACACAACAGTGGTGGCTGTGGTAGTACGAAACCAAAATAAGGAATTACGAACGCACGCTAAATACTGTCGGGCAGATTATCAAAGGCGAGCAGAACAAGCGAACTGAGAGAAGAATTCATTGGCGGCCGATACGAATGAGAGTTGGGGCCGTGTGAATATATTTCTAAGCGAGCTGATAAAAAATCTGCACATAGAAGTGTTATAAAGTTCCACCACTTTTCAACACACTAGACATTAAAATCGCATGCTAACAAATACAAGATGTGATATTGTTTTGAATTTTGCTGGTTTTGCAAAGCATTTATTCATAAATATCTGGACAAGAAATAAAAAGCAAATAATAATGAATGGTGTATGGAAGAATGAATATGCCTACATATGTATGTACATGTATAGAATTAATGATTATAAAGAAACAATAGTGTGAAAAGGAAGACAAATAAAAATACAAAGAAAAACCGAAGGTTGGTAAATGTATTGCTGGCAATTACACAATGGAAAGTGTTAAATTTCCCCTCTCCAGCACATTAATATGTAATCTCTAAACATTTTTGCTCATTGACTTCCGTCTGTACTAAAAAAACAATAAGTATATATCATTTACATATATACACATTTGATAGAAATGTATAGAAATCAAGTAAGGAGTAAGTTTGTTATTCAACAACTAAGTAATTAAGTCACTGCATGACAAAATTACGTTTCAGAATATAGAGTCATCGAAGTCGTTTTTCATTTATATGATGGCATGGAAAAAGGTTCAGTCATTTGTACCGAATGGTTCAGAACTCAGTGAAATAACTAATGTGGTTGGTGAAAAATTTGAAAACTTTTCTTAGATAATAATAATTAAGCCAATGTAACACAAGTCGTTATTGCAACGATCTACGTAAAAATAATATATTAAGAAAGTTGAAGCTGTATTGTCTTTAAATTTAAATACGTTACAAAGCGAGAAATACTAGATTTAATGACGACATCCAAATAGTACGGATGAGCCAGGTGGATTCCAAATTAGACCAAAATGATTGGTGGTATTTACAGAGACATTTTAACAGAACATTTAAATGGAAAGTAAGTGTACCACTATGTTTGATTATTCAGCAGGGTAACAATCCAAGGCACTGTTCAAGGGTCGTTAAGGACGGCTGCCAATGCGGCGGAGAAACCCTTCTAATAAGACTAGATTGTGGCAAATTCTAAGCGACGAATGGAGCAAAAATACCCCATTCGTTCGTACACAAAGCAAACGCAGTTCCCAACCAAATACTATACTAAATAAATATTTTTTTGACATCGAATTCTTTTATCTGACATTTTTTGTTGCAGATGGTTTAATTATGGGAGCACGAAAAATACATAAAAATTAAGAACAAACTAGATTTTTTTTTTTTTTTTTCATTAAAATTAAGCTTTAAATAACTATGAATATAATACATTTAAAGTCAAGGCATTTACTTCTGTGAAATTTGTGTCTGTTTCTCAATAAAATTCAACAACTCATATCTACACATGTGTATGCATATTATTGAATGAGGTACAAAAAGTCAAAGTGGTATAAATGCCCTTTTATTTCTATCTACATATTTATGTACACACATACATACGTATATTATTTATATTTGTTGTTGCCAACAGATTAATTGCCGGGAAGTCGAATGTTGTAATTCAAAACATCCTATGTACATATGTTAGGATAATGTTCATATAAACAGACCAATTTATTCAATAATTAGAAATGATAATACACAGGCGTTTCTTTAAAATAGCAAAGTTGAAGTACTTGTATTCTAACAATAACATTTACGACGTTATATTCCCCCATTTCAACAACTTCCTTAAAAAGAGTATTGCTTGATATCCTTTAAAAAAAATTGAAATAATAATAACAATAAAAGCGTGTAAAACGGAGACAAAATATAAATAATTAACATAAAAGCATATAATGGACTTTGATAACGAGAATCAAGTAAGTTATAAAAGGGTTTTCACGTGCATATTATGTACGTAACAACTACCATTCTATAAACGATTCTGTTCTTTACGCCTTTCTCATATTGTACCGTTTGTATTAACAATATACCCTAAAAGCCACTCTCCCGCATTCTCACCAAGGGACGCAACCAAGCAGCTCAGTGACAGGGGAAGGTGAGTGTTTAGCACAATTGGCAGTACAAAGCCAAATGTATTGCAACAAAGACACATTGACATCTATGCATCTCAGTGGACTACCGCCGGGCTCACACATAGCAAAGAATAGAGAGTACAAAATGCAATAAAGCAGTGCTGTGTGTGCGTTTTGCTCATTGGCAAATAACAAAGGCAAAGTTGGCGCATGAATACCTGCAACCATCCCCAACATCAACACTAACAAGAACAACAACCATAATATAACTGCCACACTAGCCTCTAGCAATGGGCAATAATAGTTTTATTGCATTGCCCGCAAATATTGTTGTCTTGCTTTGTCTGATGATTAATGTCCGTCAATCTGAAAGCAATTGCCATTGGCTCTCCCTTGCTTTGTACGTCAAGCTTTCTTTTCACTCTCCCAAATGAATATGCGTCAACGCTCTTCTTTGACTGCGGCTAAGTTCGCCATGGTGCTGTACGTGTACAAGCGAGATAACTAATGTGTTTGCCTCTCTCACCTGTGCGCGTTGAGTAAAATGTGTGTGCTTCTCTATGTTGAGGAGAGTGTGTAAGTGGCTTTAGCGGAACACTGGCGAGTGTTTAACGCTGAGCGACAAAAATCAATTTGCCTAACATCGTTTGTATATAGTAGCGGGACAACATTGTCTACACAAGCAAACGTAGCTGAGCACTCGTAGGCACAACATAACAGTCGTCATACAATAGCGCTCTGTAAACGGTCTGAGAACATATAATATATTGAAAACAATTTATAAAAAGGCTAAAGAGCGAGCGAGTGAGAGGTGTACAATTGTTGTGTTCGTACCTTGTTTAAATTGGTATTGTTTCATTCAGGGCGGAATTGTGTTGAATGAAGTGAAAACTGGATATTCATAACTTGTATACTTTGAGTTGTGGATGGTCGGAGATTGTCGTGCAGAGAAATCAGTCTGTACGAAGCTGTTGAAGTGAATAGAAGTACAAATAACTGCACTGAAAAATAGTAAAGAACCGTAAAGGGAAGAAAATAAGAAATACTATGAATATTTCACAGAACAAAGAAGCATAATATCAGATAAACAAACGTGAAAAGCAATAAGAAGTAATAGTGTCAAAGTTATTTCGAAGAATATTAAAGAATAATAGTGAGAAGTAAATATAGAACATAAAGTTACGTGAAAGTGAAAAGTTATATAAAAATTCAAAATACCAGAATGACGACTTTGTCTTCACATCCAAATTACGGTTTCCATCTAAGCCAGGCTTTGGACGTACCCACTCCAGGCGATTATGCTCCACAAAATAATCTCAATCCCACCGATATGGATATAAAGCGTGTAATGCATTTTTCGCAAACTGGTAGCTTAGCTGCTATTTCTGCAGCGATGGGCGGCTCTCCAGTAGGCGGTCATGCAGCCAGCAACGGTAACTCCATCATGGGTACAGCCAGTATGGGTCATATGGGTAGTGGAAGTGGCAGTCTTGGTGGCAATATGAACAGTGGCTTACATCACTTAGCTGGTGGCAATCATCATATGCAAACTGCCGTCGGCCATCAGACACTCTCGCCCAACTCCTCAATCGGTTCTGCTGGCAGTATTGGAAGTCAAAGTTCAATTGGTGCTTTAGGTCATGGTCAGGGCAATAATGGTGGTGGCAGTATCCACCATCATCCTACATCGCCGGGTCAGGAAGGCCACATTAAACGACCAATGAATGCTTTTATGGTATGGTCTCGTCTACAGCGTCGTCAAATCGCTAAGGACAATCCAAAAATGCACAACTCGGAGATTTCTAAACGTCTTGGTGCTGAATGGAAACTGCTAGCTGAATCTGAGAAACGTCCCTTTATCGACGAAGCCAAGCGTTTACGCGCACTACACATGAAAGAGCATCCCGATTACAAATATCGCCCACGACGTAAGCCAAAGAATCCGCTCGCTGGTGGACCACAAGGACTACAAATGCAAGCCGCACAAGCTCAACATAAATTGGGTGGTGGTGCAGGCGGAGCTGGTTCTGGTGCCTATAATCCTTTCCATCAATTACCACCATATTTTGCGCCTTCACATCATCTTGACCAGCCGTACCCAGTACCGTATTTCGGTGGTTTTGATCCCTTGGCACTTTCGAAATTGCATCAAACACAGGCTGCAGCCGCCGCAGCTGCTACAAATCAAACTCACAATGTACTGGAGGCTCAAAAAGCTCCTCAGTTGCCACCAACGACACTAAGCAGCTTTTATTCCGGCATCTATTCAGGCATATCAGCGCCTTCCTTATATGCCGCACACTCGGCAAATGCAGCGGCGGGGCTCTACAATTCATCGTCGACATCATCGCCAGGCTCTTCGCCCGGTACAATCACACCCAACGGCATGGAATCATCAGTGTCATCGGCGATGGACAATGCGCTGAGGCGACCGGTGCCGGTGCTGTATTAGATAATAAGCAAAAATATTTGTAGTTTTTAATGTAGAAAGTACAATTGGCGTTCAATGCGCTTTGTTAAATTTTTTATTAAGAACCAATACCTCGAGAGGCCCCGGAGTTATTATATGTATGTGTGTAGATACATAGACACACTGGGTAATATACCAAAATGTATTTATTAACAATATAATGTATTGGAAGTAGACACAGATTCCTTTACCAAGTTATCATGTGATTTAAGTTGTAGCTAAAATTAAATGTCATATTATTACTTAGATTCTCGTTTTTGAAATATGTATGTATGTAGAAAATATTTGGCTGGTTGGCCGAAGTACTGACATTCCAACATGTTAATAACGCAAAAGTGTTTTAGGCACAAATCACAATGTAACTTTATTTATTTTAAAGGCTTGAGTATATGATTTCTGCTTTATTGTTGATTTAAGTATCACTTGTATACGATAAATCGCTACATTTGTTATTGTTTTTAGCTCTGTTTCTCTCACTATTTTATAAAAATAAATCATTTTCGCATTGAAATCTTATACTACATTTTTGTGGTTTTCATACACTGGAGATAGTTTTACGATATAATTAGTCTTATGTATAAAGAAATTGTAAATATTAATTGAAAATAAAAATTTGATTGACTTGACTAAAAAATATGACTTTTTGAAAATTGTATGGATGCCTATTAGTTTCAATGTAAGTATATATATATACATATGTATAAAACGTAACGTAGTGTAAAAATCTCTCAACTCAGAAGATAACTCCTCCACATATAACGGTGTGTTGGAAGCTATTAAAAGTGTCATAATTCACTAAATAATACAGGAGCTAGTGCACCACTTTCAAGCAAAGTTTATGCATAATACTATCTACATGCGTGTATAACCGCACTGAACCTGTTGTATACATACCTATTTATCATTTCACAGTATACAAATCAAGCATACATGGGTTGCCTTTTAAATATATTTCGGCATTTTGTAACTCTGGTGTTGCAATCCAACACAACTTTATCGAAAATTTTGACGTGGTTTACGCTATTGGTGTTCTTTACAGTAATTTAAAATATTCCTCCCAGCCGAAAAATCGAATTAAGTCGCAAACATCTTCGCGTAATTATTTTTTACAACTTTCTACATTGATTATATCAGCAATAGTGAGTCGATGAACTTAATTAAATTTTTAACGATGGAGTTCCATCAAGCGCCAGTGTTTATCGATGGTATGGTGAATTCAATCGAGGATCACTCCAAGACCAAATTCGCGAATGTCGTTAGTTGTTGCTCCGGAAACTATTAATGCGGAAACTGATAACATCGTAAGATTAAGACAACTACTGGCATTGGTGGGATCAGCAAAATTTTATAATGCATGAACGCTTTGACTGTCAAAAAATGTGTTCACGTTGGATCCAACACAATTTGTTAATTGCTCAAAACAGACTCGTGCATATTGATAGAAGATAAGGTAACGATGGTTCGAAACCAGCCTATCTCATCGTGATGGTTGATTGATCATGGATTTACGCGTATGATTCGGGAAACACGCGCAGTCGATTGTAAGAGTGTTTCCCGAAGAGTCGAATTCAACAAAAGTTGTTGGCGTATGAATCATTTTCAAGCAAATGGTTGCTTGGACATGTGGACCATACCAATAGAACAACGCAGAATAGTAAATTCTGTTTTGTCCATTTGTTTGAGAGTTGTCTCTCAAGAAATCAGGAAAACCAACCGCTGAAGGCGGGTCACTGCGAACCATGACAATGCGAGTTACAACACGTCGACGGCATTTTTGAGCACTCAAAACATCATTCCAGCTTGGCATCGAATGGCTGCGCTTTATTCCCGTACGTAAAAAATAAATTAAGAGGTCAATGTTTTGCGACTCCCGAAGGGACATGTTTTTTTAGAAAAGGATCGGCGTGGCGACAATTGATTCAAACTCATGCAAACGTGTATGGTCTTAATAGATAATATTTTGAAGCGCAATTAAGCGATTTTAATCATTTATTTATGATTAATATTTATTGCGTTCTCTCGGACTCTAATCTCGAAATATACAAGGTACCGGTTTTCATGTTGGATTTCAATATACAGAGTTTGATTTTGACGACCATGTATGTTATTGTTCCGTTTTATTTATATGATTAGCGATGTCCACGAATGTCCCATCTTTTGGGGTAATTTTACTGCCAAGGTGGCAGAACTCCGTTTTTCTGTTAAACTCTTATCCATAGATAGTAAAATTATTTGAAGCTATTTGATATAATTTCAGTTTTATATACATACATATATATTGATTTTAAGCGTATTTTATGTGCAGCAGATATCATCCCCGTAAACGTGTTCTTCTACGAGTATATGTTTGTAGCGGTTTCAGGGTATACTCGATAATTGTTGTTAAATGACGCGTGTTGATTTGCTCTAGAATAATATGTAGAGCAACAACGTGGTCAGCTAGAGCTAGAGCGTCTTCTGGAGCTTTCCCAGGCTTTAATCCTTTAACGGCACTTTAAATTGCAACCAAGCAAGGTGAGATCAGGGCTTCCAAAGCCCTTCGAATGTAATATTTTATTGAAATTAAGTGAATATTTTTTCTTACATTTCTTTATCAATATGAATATAGCGGACACGTCTCAAAAATGAGGATAAGCGATTCTCTGATCTTTAATATAAGTTCATAAATTCCCAAATAAGATTGTAATAAACTCATGGTTTCGTCGAATAATGAATTTAGAAATTTAGGCAGCATTTTTTTAAGTATAAGCTTCCTCAAGGATCCTTCGCTGGATCTTTACAAATTGCAAGAGTATGAAATGTTCGGTAACACTTGAATTATGTTTAATACAAATCAGCTGGTAATATTATAAAGCAGTTTCTGGGGCACATATACCATCTTATAAAGTTTGAAAGTTGATTAAATGTAGGTTTCCTATTTGAACAGCTCATGAATTTCTTCATTCAAACTCCACTTTTGAAACCGTGGATGATCAAGTTTTGTGTTTTGCCAGAATATAAATTTTACATTAATTTGTGGTGCAAATGAGGATTAAAATATAATTAAAAAACAAATTATAAAATTTTTCTACTTTTAATGGTAAGTGCTTCGCAGTTGATATGTGAATAATGTTTTAAACAAAATATGCATAATGCATTGTCGAAGTCATTCATTAAGGTCTTATTTATTATAAACTTTAACTTTCATATAAAGTCTGAATTTAAATGAAACCTTATTTTTTAACTAAAATATAATGGCGATTTTAAATTAGAACTTTTGCCTGGAGAATTATTAAACCATTAAACATTTTGTTTGTTTCGCATTGTGTAGGATTTCTTAAAGTGCTTACAGAAATATTTAAAGCATTAAAAATCTGGTTTGAAATAACTTTTTTTTTAAATGAAAAAAGTCATCTTAACAACTCGATCGGGGGAAGTGTGTTACAGAAAACAAGGGTGCACTTGTGTAAAACAATTTATATGTATATTATTAATTCAAATCAAATTTTTACAACTTATTTCTAGATAGGCGTTTTCTACGAAGTATATTGCTGTAATCGTGGATACAACGCCAGATGTTGCTCATGTGACTTCACGATAAGTTTGAGATATGGATGCTGATAGAAACTGCTGAGAAATTTCTTAAATTTTTACGGAATACTGGCCGTAATGAGCCGGTAGTGAACTGTTGTGAGCAAACTTATGACAACGCAAGCAATATGTCAGGTTTATACACAGGAGTACTGTAATAGTAATGATTATTCCATTAGCAGAATATCTTGTCTTGCTGAATTTAGTACCAACTTGTACAGCTACTATCAAGAACTTTATAATTTCTTTACTTTATCAATATATCGTTGGAAAATATTAGGTCAGCATACTAGTTTAAGACCTAAAAGTCTTTATCCAACTCACTGGTCTGCTCGACTGATGTTTCTTATGCGTTAGGAAAAGAGGGGACACCAATAATTTATTGCTCAAAATTATTTATGATAAAAAACCAACTACTAGATTCCGATCATTGTATGGAATGTTATTTTAGATCTTTTTTAATGCTAATTATTTTTGCAAGTTCTGAGAGACAAACAATTTCCTGAATATGAACAAAGTGTCATAGTACTGTGTGGAGATCAAGTTTATTAGCATTGGGGTACAGGTCACAAGAAACCCCGAAAAATTCGAACAGATGAGTCATGGGCGATTGAAAATTTATCTACATCAATGTGTAGTACTGAATATAAGATACTTTGAGCGCACAACTGGCTTGACGTAAAAATATTAATTTTATGACAGATATAGATTTTATGATAAGATCTCGCAAATAAATTAGTCGAGAAGTATCCTGACTTAAAATATTCGAGATGTTTGTCCAAATTTACACATTATTCTACGTATGCTTTTGTTCTCACAACAAATTGTTCAAGTAAGGACCCAGATGGGCTAACTGTTTTGGCAATACTGTCTACTGAAGGTCAATTAGTTCAAGAAATAAAATACAATGACTTAGTTGACATTTTTGCATGGAAAAGCCAGGAAAAATACATGTACAAATTGAAGAATATATTTATGTACATCCATTTTGTGAATAATTGTATTGTTATTAAGCAATAATCATAATAAAGTTTATAATAAAAAAATGTGTAATTATACATTTTAATACAAAGTGTACACCAGAGTGTATTATACATATAGAAATTTGCTGATCAAAAAGGGCAGCGTAGTTGCCCGAGCCTAGGACTGCAGTGTGCCCAAATCATGTGGCAACATAATATTCTAAAAAGTATTTTTATATGTACTTTGGTCCTATTCCATGACCTGAAAGCCAGTCCCACACAAGGCAGTGTTTCACCGCGATGTTGTATGACGTGGATTGAGGCGTTGCCGTGTCGGCCTTCCTACCAGCTTCAACGTCAGAACCTTTCATATTGTACTTCGATGCGTCGGAAAAAAGTACAGTTCGCCATTTTGTAGTCAAACATCGTTGCGAATTCCAGTCTGGCGGGACGGGACCTGTCTTTAAAGAAATATCTCTCTAACTACTTAAGTTAAAATATCCAAATTTGCTCAGGACCATTGATTTAAGCACCAGAATTGACACAATAAACATTGATGAGTTCGGGTGATAGCCCTGTTCCGTTATAAACTACTAAAAGTAAGGTAAAAGTAAAAATAAATAAATACTACAGAAGATTTAAATTTTATACCCCGGATGATGCAGGAGCAGTTTATAAGGGTCGGGGTCAAAAAGGAACGATGAGCGTGGCTTA